ATGTGTGAACTATGGAAGATAGTCAACAAATGGCGGTGAACTATGGGAGAGATGCATATATGAAGGTCAATTATGTCTGAACCATTGAAGATAGTCAAGAGATGATGGTGAACTATGTATGAGATACATAAATGATGTTAAACTATGTGTGAACTATGGTAGATAGTCAAGAGATGATGTGCCAACTATGTTTCAGATGCATAGATGATTGTCAACTATGTCTGATCCATGGAAGATAGTGAGAAATGATGGTGAACTATGTGTTAGATGCATTGATGATGGTCAACTATGAGTGGACCATGGAAGATAGTCAATAGATGATGTGTGAACTATGTTAGAGATGCATAGATGGTGGTTAACTATGTGTGAACCATGGAAGATAATCAAGAGATGATGGCGAACTATATATTAGACACATAAATTATGGTCAACTATTTGTGAACCATGAGAGATAGTTAAGAGATGATGGTGAACTATGTGAGAGATTCATAGATGATGGTCAACTATGTGTGAGCCATGGAAGATAGTCAAAAAATGATGGTGAACTATGTAAGAAATGCATATATGATGGTCAACAATATGTGAACCATGGGAGAGAGTCAACTGACGATGTTGAACTATATGTCAGATGATTAGACGATGGTCAAATATGCGTGAACCATTGAAGATAGTCAATAGATGATTTATGAACTATGTGTGAGATGTATAGATGACGGTCAGCTATGGGTGAACCATGGAAGATAATCAAGAGATGATGGTGAACCATGTGTGAGATACATAGATGATGGTCAATTATGTGTGAACCTTGGGAAGTAGTCAAGAGATGATGGTGAAATATGCCAGAGATGCATAAAAGATGGTCAACTATGTGTGAACCATAGAAGATAGTTATCAGATGATCGTGAAATATGTCAGATATACATAGATGATGGTCAACTATGTGTGAACCATGAGAGATATTCAAGAGATGATGTGTGAACTATGTTAGAGATGCATAGATGATGGTTAACTACGTATGAACCATGGGAGATAATAAAGAGATGATGATGAAGTATTTGTAAGATACATAGATGATGCTCAATTATGTGTGAACCATGGGAGATAGTCAAGAGATGATTGTGAACTATGTCAGAGATGCATAAATGATGATCAATTATGTATGAACCAGGGAATATAGTCAAGATATAATAGTGAAGTATGTGTTAGATGTATAGATGATGGTTGACTATGTGTGAACCATGGATGATAGTCAACTAATGATGGTGAACTATGTGTGAGATGCATAGATGTTAGTGAACTATGTGTGAACCATGGAAGATAGTCAAGAGATGATGGTGAATTATGCGTGAGATATATAGATTATGGTCAACTATGAGTGAACTATGGAAGATAGTCAACAGATGATGGTGAACTATGTCAGAGGTGCATAAATGGTAGTCATTTATTTATGAATCATGGAAAATATTCAAGAGATCATGGTGAACTTTGTGTGAGATGCATAGATGATGGTCAGTTGTGTGTGAATCATGGAATATAGTGAAGAGATGATGTGAGAACTATGTCAGAGATGCATAGATGATGGCAAACTATGTGTGAACCATAGAAGATAGTCAAGAGATGATTGTGAACTATGTGTGAGATGCATAGATGATGGTCAACTATGTCTGAACCATGAAAGATAGTCAACAGATGACGGTGAACGATGTGTGAGATACGTAGATGATAGTCAACTATGTGTGAACCATGGAAGATAATTAAGTGATGATGGTGAATTATGTGTGAAACGCATAGATGATGGTCAACTATGTGTGAACTATGGATGATAGTCAACATATGATAGTGAACTATGTCAGAGATGCATAGATGATGATCAAATATGTGTGAACCTTGGGAGATAGTCATGATATGTTGGTGAACTTTGTCAGAGATGCATAGATGATGGTCAATTATATGTGAACCATGGAAAATAGTCAAGAGATAATGGTGAATCATGTTAGAGATGCATAGATGATGGTCAACTATGTGTGAACCATAGAAGATAGTCAACATATGATAATGAACTAGTGTGGGATGCATAGATGATGATCAACTATGTGTTGACCTTGAAAGATAGTCAAAAGATGATGGTGAACTATGTGTGAGATGCAAAGATGATGGTAAACTATGTGTGAACCATGAAAGATATTGAAGAGATGATGTGTGGACTGTGTCAGAAATGCATAGCCAATGGTCAACTATTTGTGAACCATGGAAGAAAGTCAAGAGATGATGTTGAACTATGTGTGAGATGCATAGATGGTGGTTAACTATGTGTGAACCATGAAAGATAGTCAAGAGATGATGTGTGAACTATGTGTGAGATGCTTAGATAATGGTCCACACATAGTTGACCATCATATATGCATCTTTGACATAGTTCACCATCATCTGTTGACTATCTTGCATGGTTAACATATAGTTGACCATCATATATGTATCTAGGGGTGAGCAAGGGACGGGTTATGACTAACCCTAACCCTGTACTAAATATTGATCGGACTATTTTAATGACCCTAACCCGTCCTAAACCCGAAAAAAACCCTATAATATATATATATATATATATATATATATATATATATATATATATATATATATATATATATATATATATATATATATATATATATATATATATATATATATATATATATATATATATATATATATATATATATATATATATAAATTTAGATCGGGTTAATGTAAGGCAATATCGGGTTGACCCGAAATATATGAAGAAAAAAATTTAATAACTTAAGAAATTTAATAAAGTATTTTAAAAAATAGGAGATTGTCTTGAAATATTTTATTCGCATGTGCTTGATGTTACAAGCTAGGGATGTGAACTTTTCAGTCACAAGTTCTTTTAATAGATTCATAAATTCCTTATTTTAACATAACACAAGTGGAAAGATGTGTATTTTGTAGCATATATTAAATTATGAGGACAGGTTGGGTAACCCGAGGGTCAACCCGAACCCGATACCGGGTTCATTTTTGGATAGTCCTTTTTTTCCATTTTTTGAATGAGACGGGAAAAAGACTAACCCGAAACTATTGGGTTGGGACGGGTCTTCGGGTTGGGTTGGGTTCTGCACACCCCTATATGTATCTATGACCTAGTTCACCACCATCTCTTGACTATCTTCCTTGGTTCACACATAGTTGACCATTGTCTTTTGATTATCTTCCTTGGTTCATACATAATTGACCATCATCTCTTGACTATCTTCCTTGGTTCACATATAGTTGACCATCATCTATGGATCTCTGACATAGTTCAACATCATCTCTTGACTACCTCCCATTGTTTACACATAGTTGCCCATCATCTATGCATCTCACACATAATTCACTATCATCTCTTGACTATCTTCCGTGGTTCACACATAGTTGTCCAACATCTATGCATCTTTGACATAGTTCACACGTCACCTCTTGACTATCTTCCATGGTTCACACATAGTTGACCATCATCTATGCATCTCTGACATAGTTCACCCTCATCTCTTGACTATCTCTCATGGTTCACACATTGTTTACCATCATCTAAGTATCTCACACATAGTTCACTATCATCTCTTGACTATCTTCCATGGTTAACACATAGTTGACCATCATCTATTGACTATTGTCATGTCATATTGGAATAGTCACGAAATTAAAGTTCATTTTAAAAAACGTTATAGTAAAATATGAAAAATTTAAAACAATATTTTAAAATATTGTTCCAATTAATGTTAAAATCACATAATTAATCTTAAAATATGTTTTAAAAAATAATTTTATTAAGTTACATTTTAAAAAATGTTATAGTAAAAATATAAAAAATTTAAAACAATATTTAGAAAAGTATTCTAATTAATGTTAAAATCACTTAATTAATTTTAAATTATATTTAAAAAAATAATTTTATTAAGTTACATTTAAAAAACATTATAGTAAAAATGTGAAGTTAAATATATAATTTAATGTCAAAATATGTTTTAAAAAATAATTTTATTAAGTTACATTTTAGAAATCATTATAGTAAAAATATAAAATTTTAAAACAATATTTAGAAACGTTGTTCCAATTAATTTTAAAATCACATCATTATTTTTAAAATATATTTTAAAAAATAATTTTATTAAGATACATTTTAAAAAACGTTATAGTAAAAATATGAAATTAAATTAAAATATTTAATTTAATGTCAAAATATGTTTTAAATTTTTTTTTTATTAAGTTATATTTTAAAAAATGTTATAGTAAAAATATAAAAATTTTAAAACAATATTTAAAATATTGTTCCAATTAATGTTAAAATCACATAATTATTTTTAAAATATATTTTAAAAATTAATTTTATTAAGTTACATTTTAAAAAACGTTATAGTAGAAATATAAAATTAATTTAAATCAAAATATATAATTTAATGTCAAATATATAATTTGTAAAATATATCCAATTAATGTCAACGTAAAAAAAATAATCTCAAATTAAAAAATTATCTAATTAATGATGACATATATTATATTATATTATGGTGTGTTTGATCATAATCCAATAATTTTATTGATTTGAAAAGAAAAACAAAAATCTCTCACATAAGAGACTTATACATATCTCTCATAGAATACGACATCTAAAGTTAAAGTTATAGGCATTATTGTCGCTCTATGTTAGTAAAAAGATATATAATCCAAATTCCAATGTTAAAACATTTTACTAATGTAACTCTAAATAGAATATTAAAAATAAAATTTAAATAGGTTTAGGTCGAGTTGAACCGGTGAAGTGGGTTGGGTTGGAGTTGAAACATTTCTGTATACTATACTTACCCAAACAAAACAAAGCACAAGCTAATGTCAAGGCTAAGGTTGAAGGTTTTCATTTTTCTTTTCTAACGACACAGATTCCATCGTTACTTCCTTCTTCTTCTTCCATTATCATCATCATCATCATCAAATTCGACATGGCATCAACAATTTCATCTCAACCCTTCATCCTCTCACGCATCACCAACACATCATCACTCCACCCACCTCTCCACAAACCCAACCAACTTCCCTCCCTCTTCTTCCTCCGCCGCCCCCGTCAACGGCGTCGTTTTATCATATCTTGCCACGTCGACGGAGACGATGTCGTTTCAACTCGTAATTCAGGTTTCGATAGAGGCTTTACGGTCATCGCTAACATGCTTCGCCGTATCAAACCCCTCGACAACTCCGTTATCTCTATAGGTGTTTCTACCGCTGCTAAAGATTCTATGAAACAAACTATTTCCACTATGCTTGGTTTGTTACCTTCTGATCATTTCTCTGTTACTGTTAGTCTTTCTATTCAGCCGCTTCATCGGTTGCTTGTTTCTTCCATCATCACAGGGTAACTATAACTTGCCTTAGTTCTTACTTTTTGATGCTTAATCATGTGTCTGATTTAAGTATTAGACTAGTGATTTGAACATTTGGGAGAGATGGTTCTTAATTGTGATTTTGATTCTTAAAAGGATTAGTTTTTGAACTTGAGTTTGGAGGACGCTAGGAGAAACTAAAACTTTGGATTTAGAACAAAATTGGTGTGGTTCGAGGGAGGTCGGGTTCTATGTGATTATAAGTTTGAACATTTGGTCAAGGTGGTTCTTAATTGTGATTTTGGTACTTGAAGGGATTGGTTTTTGGAGTTTAGTGTGGAGGATGGATACATGGAGAAAATAAGACTCTTAGTTTAGTATCAATTTGGCGGGATTCAAGTGGTAAGTACTTTGAGTCCTATGTGATTAGGAGTATGAACATTTGGGAGAGGTGGTTGTTAATTTTGATTTTGGTACTTTGAGGGATTAGCGTTTGTGGTTGATACAAATAGTTGATTAAGAGTTCGGACATTTGGGAGAGGTGCTTGTTAATTGTGCTTGGATACTTGAAGGGATTAGTTTTTGCAGTTGAGTGTAAAGAGGATACTAGAAGACACCAAAACTCTCGATTTAGCACGGAATTGGCGTGGTTCAAATGGTAAGCAGCTCGAGTTGTATATGATTAGATGTTTAACATTTGGGAGAAGTTGTTCTTAATCATAGTGTGGATACTCAAACGGATTAGTTTTTGCAGTTGAGTGTGGAGGATACCTATTTTGTCAATGACGCGCTATATCATAATAGCGTAGCGGTGGTAGCGTTTGACACGATGCCCTTGGCCTGCGAGCTGCCATCAACAATAGTAGGTGTAGCTTCCGCTATTTGTGGCCCAAACCACTATTAGGGTTTTGGGGTGAAATTCCTCAAAGCCTCTTTATATACCCTCATCTATTTTAAGGGTAGAAATGCCAAAACACTCAATTTAGTACTCGAAAAAACATTAGGGTCTCTTCTAATTATTATTTTTGTTGAATTAGTCTCATTCAAAAAATATTATTGCCAAACTAAGGTGCTCTATGTTGTGCACAGAATATGAATTTTGGTACCAACTAATGCACAAGTGGCTGATTAGGGAGGCTTGAGTGGCAGGACTGGTTAGGAAATAGGTTTATTTGACAAAGCTCAGGGTGGGGCACCTTGAGTTGGTACTAGCCGAGGCCAATGTTTGGATTGGTTGGAGTGAATAGCACAAAAACATAGGAGGGATTCTCTGAAAGGGGGGAGGGCTGCTCGAATGCAATGTTGCGGGATGCAAAGTATGAGAGACATAGTGCAAAGCTATGTTATCAAACTCGAATGTTTCGGCCGTGACTCGGCACGGAATGGCACAACCAAGAGAATAGCGCCAGACCGCACCTTTCCGGCATAGAGGGGTGACTCCGCTGGAATAGCCACAATAACGGAATTGTATTTGACACCAAAGGCATCCCCTTGGTGTCATGACTTATGAATTTGGTGTCAATTTGTGTGTTTTGTTAAGGTCGGGGAAGGATTAGTTTTCTAATACTTTAAATTTTGAGAGGATTATTGTGAGGACAGTGTAGAGTGCTAAATTGCTCTATTTTTGTAACTGTTTGGTTTCTGGTTTTGTTTCTATTGTTGGTGTTTGTGTGTGAAATTGATAAATTTTGTATTGGTTGTTTTTGTTAGCTACACGCTGTGGAATGCGGAGTACAGGACATCCTTGACGAGGAATCTGGAAATGTCTTGTGCGGATGGAGTGTCAGAATGTCAAACACCTTTGGAGATAATGGAGGTCAAGGGTGGAGGAGAAGAAAACGGGGAAAATAAGAAGGTTTTTTCTGATTCAGGAATCAATGATTTGGAAACTTGCAGCAACATCAGTAGTGGTGCGGGAGTCTTTGGAGATTTGCCGCCCCAGGCTTTGAAATACATTCAACAATTGCAGTCTGAGTTGTCAAACACAAAGGAGGTAAACCTTCTTTTAATTTTCTTGTTTAGTTCACATTATAAGCCCACCGTAAAGCGCCATGGCGCCACCATCCCTCACAAATTGGCCGCGATAGTTGTCAGTAAATCCGCCACCACAATCCACTATGGCCTATACTTGACAACTCTGGTTTGGGTTGAAGAAGGTTTGATGGAGAAGGAGACATTTTTTTCATTTTCAAATTGGGAAAAAAATTTATAATCACACTTAAAGGTAATTATGCATATGTGGAAGAAAGCTATAAAAGCCCCATTATAGAGGGCCGTTCGGAAGAGTTTATTTAGACTTAATTTTTGACATAAACACTTGCGCAAGTTTTTGGAAGGGCTTGTCACAACAGACAATAGTTGTTGGATTGACTATTTTGAGCTTATGTATTGACTTAAATATTTGTTAGACTTTGGGATAATTTATGGATACGATTTCTGATGTCTATAAGCTACTTTAAGCTTATTTTCTTAAACTCTCAATAGCTTATATATAAGAATATATCTGATAAACGGTTATGCTATAAGCGTTTAGTTTAGTACTTTATTCAAACAGGGCCTTGGTTTGGGTCCAAAAATTATTTTTGACATACTTTCTTAAGCCTCTCCAAATTGTTGGAAGTTCTTTTCATCACTTCCCGACTGTGAATCAAAAGTATTAATTCATATGTCAATAGCACGCTATGGCGGAATAACATAGCGATGGCAGGATTCTGCATGATGCTTTTGGCCTGCAAGCTGCCATCAGCAATAGCAGTTGTAGTGGCCGCTAATTGCGAAAAAATTGCAGCCCCAAACTGCTGTCGTGCCTACTATTAGGATTTTGGGGGATAAATTACTTATTTTTAAACCGTTGTCTTTTTTTAAAGAGTTAAATTTCAATCCAAACATTTTTAAAAGTAATGTTGTGTTTTTCGTTCTGTTATGTTCTTGTTCACAAACAATCTTCTTCTTACTTTTAGTTCAGCTATGTCTTGTTCTTTGTCTCTGCTTAAGATTTATTGCTCTATACTTAAGGAAATTTAACTAATAAGTATGTTTAGTCTTTGAAAAAGCGGCTATTTCCGCTCTCTGCCATACGGCTATGGCATTTTAGGTGGGTGGTGCTTCACGACGCCATATGAGATTAATAATCTAGGTATTAATGCCACACTATTAGCATGCTCTAGAAATGTCTTGATGTTAAAGTGGCAATGTGGCATCACTATTGTTATTTAGTTTAAAGGTTGATTCTATTTTATTCCTCATAGACCATTTAAAAGGCAAACTCAAAAAGTCAAAACATAATGTGAGAATTCTCATTTTCTTTCAGGAACTGAATGCGCAGAAGCAAGAAATGATGCAATTAGAACATGACAGGGGAATTCGGAATAATTTACTGGAATATCTTCGCTCTTTCGATCCTGATAGGGTAATGTCTCTCACCTTATGTTCAATTTATATCAACAAAGTATTGTCAAATAGTGCTTATAGCACTATATAGCATAGAAAAATTTGAACAAATCACTATCTTTCTCAACCTGTTATTGATAACACTGGATTTCAACTTGCAATTAAAAGTGGCGCTTTTAAATTTGACTTTATGAATTGCATGTCATGACAGGTGAATGAAATGTCGCGACCTTCGTCTGTTGAAGTGGAGGATATAATTCACCAACTTGTTCAAAACATTATGAGAAGATTCCTTGTTGACGAAGCTAGCTCTAACTTTATGGAACAGTCAGAAGAAGGAAATGTAGACTATCACCTCGACGACAGTGATGAGCTTAGTGATACAGTAGCCACTTCTCGCGATTACCTAGCGAAGTTGCTTTTCTGGTTAGTAAATCTCATTGCCAATGGTGTAAATAATCAGCAAAGTTCTTTACTGTGTTGAATCAATCATGTTGATGTGTTGTTTCCATTTGCAGGTGTATGTTATTGGGTCATCACTTAAGAGGATTGGAAAACAGATTGCATTTGAGCTGTGTTGTTGGACTTTTATAGAGAATAATGGTGGAACCCTTGTATATTCTTTTCGTCCTCTTTTTCTCTTCAACTCCCAAATCCTTATAGTCTTTTTTTTATGACACGAGTTCAATGTAAAACTGGAAGTATGTGAAGGAGAATAATCACTGGCAATCCTTGCTTTTAGCACTTCTTCTCATGATTCATCATGCTAAGCATGAAATCATAGCATATTTTAAGAATCTAGTACTAAATCATCTTAGAGTTTCATAATAAGGATTCTACCAAGTGTTGTTAAATAGCAGTTATAATAGTGTATAATTTGAGCAAATCGCCATGTTGTCAAATGCTTTTTAAAATGACAATTATATAAATACTTTGCTATCAAAGAAATCAGGACAGAACAAAAAGAATGATTGATGCAAACAGAAAATGACTGACCGAAAAATCCCGACAATGATAGGAAAAACACCAACCCCCTTGGCCAGAGACATGAGGACAGGAAGCTTACCCCGCTTGAAGAGGGAAAGGTTTTTTTCTACGAACTTGCAGGAATGGCTAGACATCAACACGGCTCATAGTTTATGTAGCAGGGAAGATGATAGAACAACTACTATTGATAGAACAACTACTATTGGGCCTGTTACTAATGAAAGGCATAATCCTGCTGTATGGAGAGTCTATGTTCGCATGGGTAAGAAAGTGGGGAATAATTCTATGTTCGCATGGGTAAGAAAGTGGGGAATAATTATGTTAGTGACGTGGCAAAGGAAATCCTTGATTTTTAGGAAGGTTGTTAATAGTGGGAGATATATGGAGGAGGGTGGTGTTGGTGAGGGGTACACACGATTATTGTTATCATTGTATTAGGAGATTGTATTCTCCGGAAGAGCTCTGCTCTGGTTATACACTTAAGTTATTTACCTTTCCTTCCATTAATACAAGAGAAATTTCATTTCACCATTCCTTTAAATTGTTTCATTTTTTTTCTGCATTGGTCCGACCTGCCGGATCTTTGATAGAGGTACCGGTGAATTCTTGTCTTGTACATGCCACCTAAGTTGTAAGATCGAATGGAAACAGTAGAAGAAAGGCTCTCGGCGGTGGAGAATTATGTACGTCAGGAGTTGAGAGACTTTCGTGAGATGATGATGCAAGAGTTTCGTGATACCATGATAAGTGAGTTTACAAAGCTGTGGGAGCGACGGCAGTCGGTGGAACGACCTACGTTCTCGGAGGAGTCTATGACTAGAGTATAAGATGGCAGTGAAGAAGGTGGAGTTACCATCGTTTGATGGTGATGATCTTGTGGGTTGGGTCACGCGTGCCGAGACGTATTTCGAAGTTCAGGGTACATCGGGGGAGGTGAAGGTCAGATTGGCAAAGCTAAGCATGGAAGGAGCAACAATCCATTGGTTCAATTTGTTGAGGGAGACGGAGGACAATTTGACATGGTTGAAGCTAAAACAAGCCTTAATTGAGAGATATGGAGGAAGACAAAACGATAACTCTTTTGAGGAAATGAAGGATTTACAATAGACTGGAACGGTTAACGAATACATCACCACCTTTGAATATGTATCATCTCAGGTAGGGAGGCTACCGGAGGAGCAGTACTTGGGGTATTTCATGGGAGAACTCAAAACAGATATTCGTTTGAGGGTTCGAACATGGAATCCACGTTCACGGGTTCAGGCAATGAAGATCGCTCGTGATGTGGAGACAAAGATGCATGGGTCGTTGTTGCCAAGAGGAAGTACTGGTGGGCCCCGTAATTGGAAGGGAAGTGGGTCAGGAGGATATGGGCTTAGTTGGAAAACAGGTTCTGGGTCTCAACATAACCTAGGTTTGACCCGAGTGGAAAATGGGTCTACTAATTATTCTGCAGGATCGATGCAATGTAAAACATATTCTCACCATCTAACCCGAGTGGGAATACGAATGCAAACACCAGCACAATCAAATCTAGAGGCGACGAAGGAAGGAGATACGAAGGAGAACGCAAGCGTGGCCTCAAGCACTTGCCGTATGCTAAGCTGATGGAATGAAGATCACAAGGGTTGTGTTTCCGATGTGGAGAAAAGTATCATCCTCTTCATCAATGAGCTGAGAAACAACTCAGGTTGGTGATTTTGGGAGATGATAAAACTATTAATGAGGAAGGTGAGGTGATAGCCATCAAAGTTAAGGAAGACGAGGAAGAGGTGCTAGATTGCAACTCTATGGGGCTATTTGGTATTACTGAACATTAAGTCGAACAATACCCCTCCTACCACTTTGCGCCTCCAAGGAAGCTTGAAGAGGGTCTTAATTATGATTTTAATTGACAGCGGTGCCAGTCACAATTTTGTCTCACCTCATGTGGCCACTGCATTAGGGCTAAATGTTGAGTAAGGAAGATCAGTGGGAGTGAAGTTGGGTGATGGTCGCAGATTATCGACTAGAGGAAGATGTAAAAAATTGGAGGTGTGTTTGAATGACTTTACCACCAGTGTTGATGCTTATGTCCTCGAATTGGGTGACCTAGATATGATTTTGGGGGTGGCTTGGTTGCAAAGGTTTGGAAAAGTAACTTTTGACTGGGAGAAGATGACCATTAGTTTTCTATGGGAAGGAAAAAGGGTAGAAATACATGGTTAATTCTTCACTACCAAAGAGGTGTCAACCAACAACATATCTCATGCACCAATGGACTCCTTGCACAGTTTGTTAAAAGAAGAAGTGGTACCAACAAATGAAGTACAGGAACTGACCGAGGTGCAAAAGCAGGAGCTTAATGAATTGTTGAGGGAGTTTTCGAAGAAAATACAGGGCTACCACCTAAACGAGAAATTAATCATGCCATTGAGTTACAAAAGGATGCAGGACCAATAAGCGTAAGACCGTATCGTTACCCTCATCACCACAAAAAGGAGATCACAAAAAGGAGATCGAAAAACAAGTTCGGAGTATGTTGAACTAAGGTATTTCGAAACAGTTCAAGCGCGTTTTCAAGCCCTGTCATTCTAGTAAAAGAAACATAGTTCATGGAGGATGTGTATTGATTATAGGGAGTTGAATAAAGTCACAGTTCCAGATCGCTATTCGATACCAGTGGTGGATGAATTGCATGGAACCGAGTATTTCTCCAAACTTGACTTGAAATCCGGTTATCATCAAATCCGAGTGAAGGAAGAAGACATACAAAAAACGACATTCCGAATGCATGAAGGACACTACGAGTTTCTAGTAATGCCCTTTGGATTAACAAACGCTCTGACTACCTTCCAATCCACCATGAATCATATTTTCAAGCCATATCTTCACAAGTTTGTCTTAGCTTTCTTTGATGATATTCTAGTTTATAGTAAGGGGTGGAAGGAACATTTAGCACACTTGTCCTAAGTATTATAGATTTTGCAACACCATTGTTTTGTAGTTAACCAAAAGAAGTGCAATTTTTCTAGTAGGAAGGTTGAATATTTGGGTAATGTAATATCTGAATAGGGGGTGGCAGTGGACCAAGCAAAAATTTGTAGCAATTTGGAATTCCAGTTCCTCATAATGTCAAAGGGGTGAGGAGTTTTTTGGGGCTGACAGAGTATTACCGGAAATTCATTATTGGTTATGGTAAGATAGCTAAACCGTTAACAGAGTTAACCAAGAAAGAAGGGTTTCATTGGGGACCAGAAGAGTTGAAGGCATTTGAGAATCTAGAAAGGATTATGATTCAAGCTCTAGTTTTAATCCTTCGAGATTGAGTGTGATGCATCCGGGAGAGGAATAGGCGCGGTACTGATGCAGAACAAGAAACCCATAACCTACTTCAGCAAATCCTTATCTAAGAATAATTTGAGTAAGTCGGCGTATGAGAAGGAGTTGATGGCATTGGTGTTGGCTGTTCAACATTGGCATCCTTATTTGATGGGAAGGAAGTTTGTGGTGTATTCCGATCAAAATTTTTTACGACACTTGCTCCAACAACATATCACTATTGCTGATCAACAGAATTGGATAGCCAAACTATTAGGTTATCATTTTGAGGTAGTGTACAAACCCGGGCCAGAAAATAAAGTTGCTGATGCTCTTTCAAGAATGCACGAAGAAGTGGAACTAAAAGGAATAATGTCATTCCCAGTATGTATGTAGGAGCAGCAAATCCAACATGAAGTATGGAATGATCCTTATTTAAAGAAAGTAATGGTTGATTTGCAAGTGAATCCTACATCCCAACAGGGTTTCCGTTTGATCAAAGGGAGGTTGTTCTATCATGGTAGGTTGGTGCTATCTGCAGAATCTAAATGCATACCCTTAATGTTCCAGGAGTTTCATTCGTCCAGTACTGGGGTTCACTCGGGGTTTTTGCGTACATATCGGAGATTAGATGCTGACCTTTATTGGGTAGGAATGAGGAAGCCAATTCAAACATTTGTGCAGAGTTGTGACGTGTGCCAGCGTCAAAAGTATTCAGCGTCGTCACCCATGGGTTTGTTGCAGCCACTGCCAATTCCGGAGAGAGTTTGGGAGGGCATATCAATGGATTTCATAACTGGTCTTCCAAAATCACAGGGGTATGCGACTATTTTTGTAGTAGTGGATAGACTATCTAAGTATGGACATTTTATTCCCTTAAAGCATCCATATACAACAAGAAAAGTGGCTGAGATTTACCAAGGAGGTGGTGCGTCTTCATCGTGTTCCACAATCTATTGTTAGTGATCATGACCCCTTATTTGTTAGCTTATTCTAGAAAGATTTGTTCCGTTTGCAGGGGACTATGTTGAGTATGAGTTCTTCATATCACCCAGAGATGGATGGACAAACAGAGGTTGTAAATCGGTGCCTAGAAGCATATCTTCGTGATTTTGCATCGGAACAATCGAATGAGTGGTCACAATGGATTCTGTAGGCTGAATTGTGGTATAATACCACATTCCATGTGTCTACGGGTTCTATGCCATTTGAAGCGGTGTATGGAAGAAAACCACCTACTGTGGTGAGATTTCTACAGGGAGAAACTAAGGTAGAGGCAGTAGCAGCTGAGTTGGTTGATCAGGGTG